TTCTTTAAATTTAACTTTAATAGATTGTCTAAGACTTACATAAGAAAGCAGTTTTCTAATTATTCTTGATATTTGACACAAAGTATTTATCGAAATTGATCATGATTAACGACCAACATCCATGTTTAAGTTCTTTCCTACAACTTGGCTATTCATTGAATTTATTCTATTTTATGATTATTTTACATAAAATGTGTTATTTTAATTAAAAAAGATATTAAATATAGGGTATATATATCTCAAAAACGTACTTTTGGTGAAATCAACAAAGAACAAGTGGTTCTTATCTGTACATGTAAATATATTACTACATGTTAGGACATTTATTTAAAATTTAACGTATTTTAACAAAAAAAAATGTATATTGAGGTTCTGAATAAAATCAAATAAAGTTAACAAAATTAGCAATAAGAAGCGCAGAAAAGCTAGGGCACGTATATATTTAATTATAATATAAACAATATTTTCAATATTATCTCATCTTTTGTTTATATATATAATAAAATATATATGCGTCCTACTTACTGCATCCAGCTCTTATTGTCAATTTATTTTATTAAACGCTAAACATCTCGCTAAATATCTCACTTCGCAGGGCAGACCGCCGCATTTTTCTGCCAGATTCTTTCGTTTCGTGTCAAAACGAATGAGCATAATTTTATTGACATTCGAGGTGCAGCGCGTATTCTAAATAATTACCCTTTTATCTTTTAATTATAAGGTGCGTATTGGAATTATTCTGCAGCGGCTTGTATAATTTATATTTATCTCGAAAGTAATATATATTTTGTTTAATTTAATTTCTCACTTATGTGTCATGACTTTTGATTTAGCGGAAATTTTCATCGTGAAATTGAAAATTTCACGATTTGCTTTTCCGTCCGTTACAAATAACCGCGATATGATAATTAAACGATGGTAATATGTACAGCCCCCAAACACATCGAAACGACCGGCAGCGGGAGAGGAAGACGATGACGATGAATGGGAGAGTCAACGACAGTTTAAGAAGCTTGACGAACTAACGAAGAAGGAAAAGCAAGATATATTGAATAAGTATGTGAAAACTAAGGTCTTTGTCGAAGCGTTGGATGAAGCGACGCTCAAACGTTTGATCCTTGTATTCAAGAAGAGAGCTCTGAAGAATAAGGAGATGAAAGTCAAATTTCCAGATCAACCGGAGAAGTAGGTGAATACGTAGAAGCTAAATGTCAGATGGAAATCTCAATGTATAATTGTTTTCGATTTCTTTTTGGCCTTTTGCAGGTTTATGGAATCCGAAGTAGAACTGCACGAAACTCTGCAAGAGCTTCAAATTGTAGCAACCAATCCAACCAATCTTGATTTGTATTGTATGTTAATGGTAAAGTTAGGCGCCGTACCTTCTTTACTAGAATTGTTGTCTCATAAAAATACTGATATAGCAGTTGGTGTGGTAGATTTTCTGCAGAAATTTACTTACAAAGGTATATTACACAAAATTCAGAAAGAAGGCGCGGATACATTTATCAATGCTTTGTTTGAGCAACAAGTTTGCGCTCTCCTAGTACAAAATCTCGAGAGACTTGATGAAACAGTGACTAAAGAGGACAACGGTGTTTATAACACACTTGGTAATTATTTAATAAACGTGCATATCGTTTATCTTTCTGCAAAATAATGCTTTTACTAGATTAACTCAACGACGGTTTCGATTTCTAGACATTTTTGACGAACTACTGGTATTTAGACCAGATCTATGTGCGGATGCGGGAAAGCAGGGTCTGATGAAATGGTTGTTACGTCGAGTTAAAATTAAAACAACACCTATTGACCTGAACAAATGTTACGCCTGTCATCTCCTATCTATACTTTTGCGGCATACGCCAGAAAATAGACTTCTTTTAGGTGACTTGGATGGAATTGATGTTTTACTACAACAATTAGCTGTATGTATTTGTATGTTTCTAAGCCCTTGCATATAACATTACCAAGCTGAATTATCTTAAAACCGATTATTTACAATATTTACAGAGTCACGATCCGCAGACTGCACAGGAACATGATTTAAATGAGTGGTATGATGAGATAAATAAGATGAATGAAGCGATAATGGAAGATTTGTTTAACGTTTTGTGCTCAAGCTTAATGGCTACTGTAAATCGAGATAGATTTCTGCGTGGCGAAGGCCTCCAACTTATGAACTTAATATTACGAAAAAAAAAAATGTCATTGAATGGATCTCTCAAAGTGGGTTTATTCGCAACAGATTTTATTGGATTTATATAAATTACTATAGTTAAATTATAGGTTTTAGATCACGCTTTGAATGGCCCGGATGGAAAAGATAACTGCAGCAAATTTGTAGATATTCTTGGATTGCAAACTATATTTCCTCTGTTTATGAAAACCCCAACAAAAAATAGAAAAAGAATGCTTACTGCAGAAGAGGATGAAAGTATGGCCTCGATATATCTATTAATATTAGTAAGCAAAATTTCAACTTATTTAACTGTTTATAGCGAAATAATAAATAATTAATTTTGCAGAACACGTGATTTCAATCATAGTAAGCTTGTTAAAGAACTGTAAAGGACAACAGCGTCAAACATTACTTAGCTATTTTACGGAGAATGATTATGAGAAAGTGGATAGATTAATGGAATTACATTTCAAGTATCTTGAAAAGGTAGAAGAAATGAAAAAGAATGGGAAGGTACGTGCACAATAAAAAACATTTAACAGAGACATCTAAAAATGAAGACGTATAAAAATTTACACTCTTTTTTTATTTTTATCATAAGGACGAAGACGAAGAAGAATCGTACTTGAGAAGATTAGACGGCGGGTTATTTATATTACAGTTAGTAGATTATGTACTTTTAGAAGTTTGCACTGGTTGTCCGCCTGCAGTCACGCAACGAGTAAGGGATCTCTTGGCGCAGAGATCCCTTAACAAAATTCGCCACATCATGAGAGGTAAATTATGTATAGTATAAAATCTATCTACATATTTAATCGTATTAACAATGTATTCATTCACATGTTTTTTGTTTCAAAACCAGAATACGCCGATAATTTAGGAGATGCCGGTGATACAGAATGGAAAGAAGCAGAGCAACGACGTATCTTACAATTAATTGACAAATTTTGATATGACTTTTCACATAGAAGACATTAAGGATGTTAAGAATTTAAAAATCTATTGCAAGAAGATTTAAATAAGATACTGCAATTGATTGAGAAAAGTGAAATTCTTGAAATCAGCACTCATCAGTTGTTTTCGTCACCACTTATGACAGATAAATTTACGTTGGCTGGTAGTGATTCATAAAATAATATGCATAATACGGGATAAGGATATTTTTTTATTTAATTAATAAACATGGTTTTTTCTTTTCTATAATTATAACTTTTAATTTTTATATATGTAAGAATTTTATATGCAAATAAGTATTAATACAAATTAAAAATAATTCGTGATTTGAGTTTAGATGTACGACTAAAACTATTATTTAATTATATTTATATAAATTGAAAACTATTTAATTATATTTATTATACTTATACTTGTTAGTTTAGTTATAAGTTTCTCAAGTCTACAAGTTGATCTAGAACAAAAGGAAATGGAAAATAAGAATCCTTATAAACCTATGTTATCTGAAAATGTTTTATTTAATTTTTATCAGTTCTATATTGTATTAAAAATTTCCAATTGTTCTGTAGATCATCTTGTGCATATTACAGTGTCAGTATTTTTAGCATCTACCTTTTCAACGAGCAAGTTATCTTTCATAAATTTAAACTCGATTTTTGTTGTTTAATGTTTATCGCAATTATACGTTTTCGATGTTGTTCATTAATTGTTGATCATTAATTGGAGTTCAATAAAATGCGATTAAATTAAAACAATCAAATTCTTAATTATTTCTTAATATACATACGTAGATATATATATATATATATATAAATTATATTTTACTTATTTCTTTTTCTATCAGTTTATTTATCTTTGTTTTTAATTCACAGACATATGGTATTGGCAAATTATGTTTATAGAGATATTCGATTTAATAGAAATATACTGTCCGATCATCGATAGATGGAAGAAAATGTTTCACAAAAATTCTAAATCGGTTACTCAAAATCGAGTTAAATTTGATAACTCATTTCAAAATTATAAATTTGTTTCAAAAATAGAAATTAAGCAAATATGATACTTTTGGTGAATTTTGTATCTTTTTTAATATAGTTTCTGTGCTTAATTTGAAATGAAATTTTATATTATCATTTTGGCAAGAAAATTTAATAGTAAAAGTAAGGCAAAGAGAGAACAATGCATGAAAGCTCTGTAATCGGATAGAAGAAATCTATTCCTAAGCAGTAATAATATTTTTAAAATGTAATGTTGGATCTGTCAGTTTGTTAGCGTATTTTAGCGATGAAATTAACAGTTATTGCATAAATGAGAAAGCCGATACGCTTTAATTATTACAGTAAGACTTGACTACATAAAACTCTAATAAAATATTTTAGTATTTTGAAATTAATCTTATTGTCAGTAAAAATAGTCGTGAGTTATAAAAGTTCTTCATGTAGCTCTAGCATCAGTAGCATCTGATTATTCAGTTTCTTTCGGCAAATCGGTATATCAAATTAAGAAATGTCAGATTTGAGATTTGAACCGTGGCGCCCGCGGCTCACCTGGAAAATAGATGGAGGGGACACGCATTCTAATAAGGAGCCACATACGTGTGACACACGCGTATGTACATACATACATCGTGATTTTCTTAGGATGCGTGTCCCCTTCACTTATTTTACGGGAGTACCTAGGCTGCGGTCCACTTGACGCTACAAATGCTTCGAAGCATTCCTCTTCTCTTTTCTTTCAATGAAGAAAGAAGGAGAAGAAGAACGCTCCAAAGAATTTGTAGCGTCAAGTAGACCGCAGCCCTAGGTGAACCCCGGGCGCGCTGCGCGGGCGGTCAGGGCGGGGCGGCGTGGCGGGCGCCCCCGCCCCAGCTCTGTTTTATGCAATGGTCGCGTTCATTTGTTCATTTGCATCGTTTCTCGTTTCTCACATCACATCTTGGCATCATATTTGCAGTAGCTTGGAAACTTGATTTGACAAAAGGAAATAAGAGGAATCAGTTGCTACATTTATACGTGAACGCATTAAGGGCCAATT